TGCTTCATCCGGGGCCACTTCGACACGCGGAAGAGCTTCGTCGGGGCGCGATTGTTCAGGTCTAGCATCCTCGTCTTCAGGAAGGTCATCGCGTCGTTTGCAAACTACGCACAGAGCCGCTCGCAGTCGGGGTACTTGCTGCAGAAGGCATGACCGTCGATCTGCTTCTCGTGCATGTTGTAGGTGTGCGTGACTAGGTTGCCGTCCTTGTCGATGCCCTGCACCTTTACGCACTTGCTCCCTCCGCGCCCGTAGACGGCCAAGAAAGCTGAAAGCCACGTGCCTTCGACCCCCCCACCGAACACCTCTCCGCCCTGGCAGTGGCGGAGGTCCCCTGTCGCCTCGTCGATATCGTTCGTCACTTCGGTGACATCGACCTGGTAGAAGGATAGACAAGGGAGAGGAGTCAGAGGGTGATTCCAAATGTGCATGCATGGGACAAAAACTACAACACGCAGAGTGGTAGAAGCTCACCTCCCTCTTCTGGGATTTGAGGTTGAGCTCATTCATCACTCCGAGCACGTCCGCCAGGAAAAAAAGACAGAACTAGAACTTGTAACAGATGACGACTTCATACAGCTCATGCCCGTACTCATGAAACGAAATAATAGCGGCGCCAAGGACCTTACAGAGGCGCCGCATAGCCTCACCCCTTGAAAGCCAGCGCACGGTGTGAATTCCTTGCACTTCAAGGTTGGTGTTGTGTATTGCCCGCTGCAGGTACTTGATGCGTTGACTCCAGACACATGAACGTCCCAGAAGATCGGCTAGAGTCCAAATCACAAGGTCGACCATGTCAAAGTCTGGAGAAGCAGTGGCGGCATCCTTCACCACCAAGGCTTCCCTGCATGGTGCACACACAGGAATTTTAGTCAAGCAGTTGTAGGAAACCTAAGCGACAAAAATGACAAGAAGTTAAACCTGTGTGCGATGATGTGCGAAGAGACGAGATGGGGGATGTGCTCACAAAGTCGGGCGACAAGACCATTGTCTCGGCCAACCATGACAGAGGCATCGTCGGTGCTCAAACGGGAGAGGTCGATGCCAGTTGCTCGCAAGTGAGCCAGAAGAACGGCGAGGAGAGACGCGGCGTCGCACTTTTTGACGGTCAAGAGAGAAAAAAAACTCTGTGACAACATGATGCGCACGCATGAAGGTTAGGTAAACAATGAGATGTTTATCGCGAGTACGGTCAGTGCTCTCGTCGCAACTGATGCCGAGGTAGGGTAAGGCGAGAATGTGTTGCATTTGTCGGCGTTGCAGGTAGGATGTCAAGCAGTTGACGAGCTGACAGAAGCCATACCTATAGTAGCAGAAGTAGCAACAGGGAGGTTGTTAGACCTATTAAATGAATGAAGGATATGGTGTTTTTGGAATCAGTGCATTACCGTGTCAGGTAGACTCCGTAAGACTGCAGCGGAATGTCTGGGGTCTCCTGCTCGGCCATGAAGCGGAGTAGCCTCGGGTACATACTGATGGGTACATCACACAAGAAGTCGACGCAGCGTAGGAGCCTCATGACGCGCCTCCCCTCGATGTCAGTCCGTGCGTAATTCTCCATGCACCTCTGGGTGCTGGCGATGTCTTCGGCGATCTCCATCTGATGCTTGAATACTGCTTCGTGGACTGTTGTGTGTTCGTGGAACCGCATCGCTTGCGTCTGCAGGTTGCATGCCCCATCGCGGCTGTTGGAGTACGGTGTTGTCTCTTTGCCGAAAGCCTTGCACACACTGCACTTCAACGCAGGGCAACCGTCTTTCGTTTTTGTTAACAGAAGCCAAGGGAAAAATGGAAGCCAGCTGGCCTTATACTTGTACTCAGCCATGAGATACTTCTTCTCGATGAGTTCTTTCTCCAAGAGGTTCGGTGGCTCGGGTTCTGGAACAGCAGGGGCCTGAGGTTCAGGCGACGTGCGAGGCGGCGACGGTCGACGTAGCTTCCCGCCGAGGACTATCGTGCTCTGGGTGTACTTCTCGATGCGTGCTTTTTTCCCGGATGAAATCGTGGAAGCACACTCGACCGTGTAACGCAAGGTCATGGCTGTCTCGCAGTCTGGAACCCAAGGGCCCCGGCTAGATGAAGCGACAGCGGGCGGAGGTACATAGGAAGCGGGAGTAGATACGGGTTGTGACGGTGTTGCAACTGCGGTGGGAGACCGCAAGATATCTAGAGCGGATCTACGGACCTCCACGAGGGGGGTCTGTATCTGGTCCAGAACCATCATCGTCGGCGGGAGACTCACCAGACTCTCCTACATCCGTCATGGCTAGTAGCGGCGGAGTTGATCGAAATCCCATGGCTGAAGACTCACCTGACTCTCCTACATGGCAGAGTGCACCATCCCATGGCTGGAGACTCACCAGACTCTCCTACATCCGTCATGGCTAGTAGCGGCGGAGTTGATCGAAAGGAGAACTAGGCGCGACGAAAGTGGACGAGAAAGAAGAATGGAGCATCTCACATCTGCGCTGTGAAGAAAAGGAGGAAATTGGGTTGGAGGAGAGGCTGGTGAAGAAGATGGGGCGGGGACCAAGAAACCCCAGATTTTGCTTGTCATGGACGGTGCACAACCCATCAAGGATCCCGCATCGCCATGGCGATACCGTCGATGGCTGGACGCACCTGCGCTGGCATCGTACGCATAGAGATGATTGGCTTTGTGATGTCATACAGAGGCTGACATTGCAGCGCTCAGCATTTTCCCGCGTGCGCCATTATCAAAGCATCGATTTCTGTCCTCGTCTGCTGCATGCTGAGTCACGAATGCTAGGCTGGGGCATGACGGTTGGAAATGTTGCTAAAATGGCAACATACAACGTGTACAGGGTGGGAAAGTTGCCAAGTGCAGATTCTCCATATGACGCCTGCTGATCGTATTCATGGGCCTGAGACCCGTCACGCGTAAAGGGGCCATTTCACCAAAAATCATGGTCCGTATGGATGTCGCATTTGGGGTTCGTAAGCGTTACTCCTTGAAAACTCAGTTTTGGGAAAACGCAAACCGTGAAATCCCAAGTGTTCATAGACATACAACCCTGAACAGGGTAGGGTTAAAAAAATGCCAAACCCTAAAAATTAAGGGTTGGCAAAAAGAATACCCTGTGAAATCTGGGAATCAGGGTAAAATACCCCGATAACGACAGGCCTGGAGGGGTACCCAGCTGTCATCCTCCGACGTCCGATCGCGCCATCTGACGAGAAAATCCACCATTCGACGGTTCTGCTGCGTTGTGACTCGATGGCCGAGAATCTTCAGAGGCTCGGTCGTCGGTTCCTGCAAGGGCGTTAGCTGCGGTACGATGCGCTGACGTGCCAAATCCGACGAACTGGGGACGTAGGGTCGTAGTAGGCTGACGTGGAAAGCCGGGTGGTGACGCCAATTAGCCGGGAGTCAAAGGTGAGCTGTGACAGGTATCACCATATTGGTCACTTGAAAAGGACCACAAAAGCGTTGTCGGAGTTTTTTCGGGATCAGGAGGCGCAAGTTGCGAGTGTCGAGTAGTACAAGATCTCCCACTTTGTAAGTGACATCACGTCGATGACGATCGGCTTGTCGGCTTGCGACCAGGTTGGCTTTCCAGATTGCCTCAGTTGCCTTTTCTCGGGGCTGCGAGGATGTCTTCGGCAAATCACTGGGACCGAGGCACGGGTGTCTCGATGTTTGGTGTAGAGGGCACCACTGGGTCCTATCAGTAATTGAGGAAAAATAGGGATTGATGGGTTGTGGCGGAAGGCGCATTATTATACGCAAATTCCAGCAGCGGAAGGGATTTCTCCCATGTCTGTAGGTCAGTGCAGGTTGTCCGAATGAGTTGCTCCATAGTTTAGTTGACTCGTTCGGTCTGCCCGTCAATCTGTGGGTGGTAGGATGAGGAAAACTATAGTTTGGTGCCAAATTGGTCCCACAGGTAGTGCCATAAATTCGATGTGAATTTCGGGACTCTGTATGAAATAGTGGCGGTAGGCAGTCCATGCAGTCTGATGACGTTGGCGATGAACAGTTGGGCAATTTGCTCCGCTGTAATTTTCTGTTGGTAGATGATGAAGTGTGCCATTTTCGTGAGTCGGTCAACGACCACGAGGATGGCGTCGTTTTCGTTGGGACCGGTTGGCATTCCTGTTACGTAGTCCATCGTGACGTATTGCTAGGATCTCTCGAGCGGATCCAATGGCTGTAAGAGTCCGGATGCACGCTGATGGGATGATTTCATGATTTGGCAGGCGGTGTAGGAGGACACGTACTTGCGCACGTCGTCGGCCATGTTCGACCAGTAATAATTGCGCTGCAATGTCTTTATGGTCTTGTCGACTCCGAAATGCCCGGAGGTAGGGTTGTCATGGGATTCCTGGATTAGGAGGGTACGAAATAAATCATAGCGGGGAACCCAGATGCAAGACGTGTCGCACTTATTTAAGTAGTGTCTGGTAGCGGTGGTATGCTGTTGGTGAATGACGGAGCGGAAGAAGGGGTTGATCTTGTAGCCATTGATAAATAGTTCCGTAAGGAGTGGGCTGGTCTGGGCGACTAGTATGACGGCTGTATGGGCAGTGGGTTAGGTCAGGGCATCAGCAATGTTGTTGGCGCCCCGTTTGTAGGTGATGGTGTAGTGAAAGTTTGACTCGAGGAAATCGAGCCATCGGTTTTGTCGCGGATTGAGATTCGGCTGGGCTCGCAGGTACTAGAGGGATTTGCGATCTGTCCGCACAGTGACGCCAGCGCCTATCAGGTAGCACCGCCATGTCTTGAACGCGTGGACGATTGCCAATATTTCCTTGTCGTGTACTATGTAATTTTTTTCTGCACCGTGCAGCTTCCGTGATTCGTAGGCGACCGGCTGTAATCCTTCGCCAAAATATCGTAGAAGAATTGTGCCGATGGCGATGTCGCTAGTGTCGGTGATGACTTCATATGGACGGTTAGGATCAGCGATGCGAAGGACGGGCGGTGACGTGAGGGCGATCTTCAGTTGGTCAAATGTAGCTTGCTGCTTCTCTCCCCACCAAAAACAATCGTGATCATTGAGTCAGTCAGTTAGCGGTGCAGATAACCCAGCCATATTGGGTATAAACCTGCAGACGAAATTGACGAAGCCCAAAAAACTCTGCAGCTCCTTGATGTTGCTTGGCGGCTTCCATTCCTGTATGGTCTTGATTTTCTTGGGGTCGATTTTCACTCCTTCAGTAGATAGCAAGTGGCCCAGGAACTCCAACTCCTGCTTAAGAAAGTCGCACTTAGATCCATTGGTGATGGGGCGATTCTTGTGCAGCAGCGTGAAGTCTGCATCAAGATCCTGTAAGTGCTGCTCCCTGCTGTGGCTGAAGATTAGTATATCGTCGAGGTAGATGATGACACATTTGTCCAAGAGTTCCTTGAAAATTCCATTCATGGTCATTTGGAGGGTCAAGGGCGCGTTCGTGAGGCCAAAAGGCATCACCAGGTACTGGTAGCTGCCGTAGCGGGTTTGAAATGCCGTCTTGTGACAATCTTCTACGGCGACGCGAATCTGATGGTAACCGCCTTGCAAGTCCATTTTCGAGAAAAACTTGGCGCCGCGAAGTTGGTCGAGCAGTTCGTCGGCTCGCGGGATCGGGTAACGCGACTTGATGATGATCCGGTTGAGCGCGGGGTAGTCAATACACATTCTGAATCCTCCATCCTTCTTTGGCGTGAACAGTATCGGGGCGGCGTATGGTGACGTGCTGGGCCGGATAAAACCTTTCGTCAGAAGGTAATCTAGCTGCTGCTGTTATTCTTCCAGTTCTGGTTGGCTGAGCTGAAATTGGCGCTGTACCGTCGGTTGGGCGCCTGGTTCCAGCTCGATTTGGTGGTCCTCAGGTCGGCTCGGCGGGAGTCCAGAAGACAGATCGTCTGGGAAAATCTCTGGGTATTTCCGAATCGGGTCCGCTAAGTTCAGAGGGACGAATTTGCACAGCTTCTTGATATCTTCGGTCTGGACCGTCGATGTTGTTATAGTCACAATAGGCTCAGATGTGCCAATAATGAGAGATAGAGAGCACAGTCGGATTTCCGTCAGACGGCTTCAAATATTGATAACGATCTGCTCGCTGAATCAAACGGTGATCTGTAAATTGGATCTAGAGCGCGGTGTTATTGTCTATCAGTAGCAAGTTGAATCATGAAATTCCATGAAGATTTGACGATGCTATGGCGGTTTGAATGGCAGGAGGTACAGCAGCCACAATAGTCTTAGGAGTACAAAAATCTTAGGAAGAAGAATTGGAGAGGGAGATGGTTCCCAGCCTCTACATACCCCAAGAGCCGAGGTCCAGGTTGGTGGTACACCACCACAGAGTCCCCAACCATGAAGAGTCTCGAACCAACCCTCCAAGGGGCTACACCAAGTGAAATGTAACACTACACGAAGTAGCATTACTATTTCACTATTTAATATTTATCCGTGTCCCTTGGGCTTGAAATCTGAGCTCTTGGTCTTGGATCTGCAAGATAAATTCTTCTTGAGTTGATGGGGGCTTGCTGCGCACACCTGCGACGCGATGGACACTTCACACTCGACAAAATAGAAAAACACATGCGACACACAAACGACGACTTGACATGCGAGTTGTAAAAACTCCCTAATGTCTTGACCGACACAAACCACATTGTGATACACCATTCAAACACACACACAAGCACTGGATAGCAATGACATAGACTCACAATTCATTCCATGCCATGCATGCACACACACAAACAAGGACGACAAGCCGAGTGCAAGCCATAGGGTTGCACCAACAGATGTCACCTCGTGAAGATCAACGCCGTACGCTGCAGCTCCAGCCTTCATCGCGCGCTTGAAAATGATCGCATGGACTTGGGTGCTTAGCATGCAAGGCCCTGTCCACTTGGGCAGCTCGCGGGAAATCCCATCAAGCTTGATGCTGCAGCCACCCGTCGTCCAGTCAATCTTCGAGTTGTACCGTCACAACCAACCACGTCCCAGCAGCACGTCGCACCCATTGAGAATAGTCGCCAGTAGTCCCATCCGAAATTTTACATGCTCCCCAGAGGTAAAACCAACGTTTTCCACTCGTTCCCGTATTGCCAGTGGTGTTCCATCCACCAGTCGGGCATCGATTTCAAGTAGACACTTGAGTAAGGGTATACCCAATTTTTTAGCCCTGTCCAGTTGTATGAGACTGTGACTCGCGCCTCTATCAACGAAGATCTTCAATCATACCCTGTTGACTTTACCCTTCACCAACACAGGGTGATCAGCAGTTTCGTCCCCCCTTTTTCTTCCGGGTCCGGTCGATTGCAGAAATTAGGATCACGACCCGGTGGGGACTGTGTGGGTTTGGGCGAAGAAGCCTGCCCATCAATAAGGGGCCCGGTACTTACTGACGCGACCCATTTCCCGGTCGCTCCTCTGGCTTCTTCCCCATAGAATCCAGGAGGGCTATGAATTCTTGGCAGTTGCGTCGGATCTAACTCGGCCGACCACAGTGGCAGCATAGCCCCGTATTTCGTGGAGCAACTGTATAAATATCCACTTCGTCCACCCCTTTTATCATGGTGCGCTGGTACTGTTCTCGAGGGCGACCTCCGTCGTAGAAGTTTGTCCTCGGCTTCGTGATTGAATCAGCTGCTTCGGCGAGCTGGATGTAGTCTTGTAATCGCTTCGCAGGGCGTTGCTGTTTTATCTGGTACTATATTTCAGGCTTCAAGCCGCCCATGTACTTGTCGACCTTCTCCAACTCATGCATGTAGCCACATCTGTCCACCAACATCAGGAATGACGCGGTTTACTCGGACACAGATCCCAGCAGCTTCCAGATGCGTAGAGTTTTGCGTGCCTTATCTGAGTTAGGGGCATGCTCAAACTGCTTGCAAAGTTCTACACACCACGTTGCCCACGTGCGAATGTGGGTCTCTCCGAACAACAGATCTGCCTTGTCTTCGTCGCCGAATTCTTCGGACCACTCGTGCTGTCCTTCTGTGCGAGTTGCCGCTGAGTCGACGATGACCTTCCATTACAATAGGGCGGCCCCTTGCAACAGTGTTAACGCGTGGCTGATCCGCTTCTGATCGTCTCTGATGCCCGCCGCATTAAAATAGATATTCATGGCGAATATCCATTGCCGCACCATCACGCCTTTATTAGCTGGGTCGAAAGGAGCGGGTTGCTGATATCTTACGCTGCCACTTGTCGAGCGTGAGGCTTTGCCGTTAGTCGTGCCAGCTTTACTGGCGACGGTTGCTGCTCACCCGCCTCGCTTCATGCATTGTCGCCCGGCTCCTCTGGACGCCTCTCCTATGCTTGGCGAAGTCGCTAGTTCTCGTTGCGGAGGTGGTTGACGACGCTTGTCAAATTCTTCAACTGCTCCATTAATGTTTGCAGGTCCACAGTTTCCCGGGCAGGGTTCGCAGCAGTCGAGTTGGGCTATCCCTCAACCGTCAAATCTACCGGGGCCATGGCGGTTAGGACGGGGCAGAAGCTAGCACACACGCTGTAGTTGTTGACGTAAAAATATTACGATCCAAGACAACTGCTGTGCAGCCGTGTTAATCCCCTCTGACCACCCTTAACTAAGTAGACGGGAAAACGGAAGGCTCTTGGAAAGGCCGGGCTCTGATACCAGCTGTTATGATATAGAAAGTGTCAATGAAATATAACGTGAGAATACAAGCTCGCTATTGCAATGAAGGCACGAGGTTATATAGGAATTGGCGTGCTTAGGGCGATAACCACGGAACGTGGGTAGGTTCGGCAATGTGGCGACAGTGCCGGACGTGGCTTGGGAAAGGGTTGGGCTGACAAATGAGGCCGAACGTGACAAGTCGAGGAGTCGGTGTACGCGCTAGCGTTACGACTGAGTAAGGAATGGAAATTCCTTACACGTTATAAATAAAAAATGAGCACTATAGTTTTGATACAATCTGAACACACTACCCTTACTAGCCTACCTGGGTGCACTCACTGATGCTGTTTCACCCCACTACAGAAGCATTTACCTGACCCATCAAGCATCTCCGTACTTTCACACAAACTTGACAATGATATTGCTGCGGCGGTCAAATCTGTTGAAGTATACTTGGTAGAGTTATCATGTATGCATTCCTGATTTTTACTTTGACTGTACGAGTAGTGCGATACCTCAAAAGGAAAGACACGTGTGATAACATCAGCATTAGCGAGTCCAAGCATGAACAGTAGGTTCACCCGTATAGTCACCGCCCGAAGGGTCACGCCACCTCAGTCACAGTCACACGAACAGCCACTAATCAAGTCACCCATGCTGGAAACGATAAAAGGACTTAAGCGCATTTCATGAGTATCGCGTAGCTATAACAATACGCGAAGGACACAACATCGAAGATTATCAGACTGCTATAGTACCTCATATGGTTGACGCAGTCTAACGACACCTCACAGAGGTTACGAAAGGGCAATGGTCACAGACCGTTGACCATGCAACTCAATAGTCAGAAGTACAAGAGTCAAGTCAGCACGACAGCAAGGACAAATAACCGTCCCGGTATTACAGTACGGGTGGTTACCCGTGTCGCTCTTATCGAGTCGTAAAGGGAATGTACCCGTCGAAGTGCATAATTAGTTAGATTTTTTATTTTTATTTTTTGTATTGTTATGTTAACCCTTGTATCTCTTTGCTATAATCAATAAATTGTCCTCGCATACCAGTACAAGGGTTCATCAAGACTTCCGCTGTGCTATCAAGCACTTTGTTTCGAATGACTTAGTTTTTTGAAAAGATCCTTGGGCTTCTCTCAGCCCAACATGGTATGAGAGCTAGTCAGAAACTACGCTCCTGTTACAAACTCCCTCCGTGAGTTTCCAACTTAGCTAGAACATCCACTCGCAACAACTCCAATCTCATTAACATAAAGAATTACAAGACATGGCACCCTCCAAAGGGGAAGGATCCTCTACTGGATCTCCCGGCTACGATTCATCTGCGCCCTCCAGTCTCTGACCTACAGACTGAGGCAGGCTCTCATCAAGGCGCTGCACAAGGCGCAACTCAAGGCGCAACTGCAAGAACATCCACTCATCCAGTGGCTTCCTCCTCGAGCATTGACCCGCCCTTCGTGGAGAAATTCTTCTCCTTCATGTCGACCTACAAGCAACCTTTGGCACCTGCTAAGTCAACACACAGCAACATCGTCAGTGGCGCAGTACCGATGAGCCTCGATGGCTCATCCTATGCAAGAGGCAACCAGCCTTCTCAGCATCAACCTTACGAGCCTTTGCCCGGCTCCTTCACGTTTCTGCCAACCCCTGTGACAGCAGTTGACTCACAAGCAAGCGACAAACCAACAGACATTTTTCAACATGCAACAGCAGTTCAACAACATACCGTAGCCACCCGGATATAGGCGCGGCCATTTATTAAGCCCAACGGACTTATAGAGTGCAAACGCGCTTATATCAGTTATTTCATTATAAGCTCACTTTTTTAAAATCTATTCCTTATAAGCGCATTGAATTACTATTAAAAAATAGGTGAATTGCAAAACTTCCATATCGAAACTCCGTGCCAAACCTCCCGCAGCACTCCCGCACCCCTCCCAAGCACCTCGGCAGCTAGATTCCTGCGTTTTCCGATCAATGTATTACCTATGATTGGTCCATATCTTGCCCTTCCCAGCATAGTTGTGCTGGCAAAATATTTCGCCAGATATTCCGCGCAATATTTATGCGCATCCCCTTTTGAAGACACTTGTATTAGAGCCCAAATCAACCCAGCTACATTTTGGTGTGTTCAAATTATTTTTCCATATAGTCCTTCGTATCAGCGCACGGGCTTATATTTTTTATTTGATTACAAGCGCATGCTGCCTTTCAAACCTAATCCCTAAAAGCACATATGCGCCTATATCCGGGCGATTACGGTACTCAAGCTTCAGACATCCTTTCCTTTCTACGGCAAAGATTTCTTTACTTGGATTTTTAAATTTGAGCTGCCGATGGACGGCGTGCAGATCCTCGGATTCTTCACCGGATCTTGGGCATTTCCTGTCAACGGGAAAATTCAGGAAAAGAAAGTGTACACATATAAATCGCTCTTGGCCTTCACCATCCTCCTACGCAACTTGACACCAACAGAACAACAGAGCATTCGCACATATCGCAATTTCGGCAACTCAGCTGAGCTCGCCTACAGTCATTTGAAGAGCGCCTATCAAGCCTCCGACAGCGTGACCCAGAACCGACTGATGGCACAACTCACAATGATCCAGATGCAAGCAGGAGAAAAGGTGATGGTGTACATCAATCGTTGCAGGGGACTACATGAAAGACTCTTAAGCATTGGCGGGCACTTATCGGAAGACTCCTTCGTCACAGTTATTCTTGCCGGCCTCCGTCCCCAATGACGTATGACACGCTCCCTTGTACGCGCCCACGGAAAGATCTCCGAGATGCACTTGTGCACGAAGCTCCACGCCAAACAGCAAGACATGGACATGTACGAGGAACGTCACGCAAAGAAACACAGTCAGCATCTTGTGTTTTACGCACATGGGCGCAACAACACTGCAAACCAGAAACGACACTCACCTCCATTCTACAATATTGTCGTATGCCCGGACACTCGCGCTTCAACTGCCCAAGGCAACAGCAGCGCCAACACCAGCAGCCGCAGTCTCCACAGTATCAGCCACGAGCACCACGTCCGTTCCCGAGCCTGGCCGCTTCAACTCAGCAGCGCCCACCGGCTCCGACAAACCGATTTGCACAAGATGCGCGCAACATCGTAAGCTGCATAGCGCGAACAGACTTCTGCAAACCCGACTCCACCTTACCACGATCTTGACGAGTGTCCACCTGCTCCAACACAGACCCGACTTCAACCAAACCCGACTTACGCTGTGATTCTTGCGACAAACCATCCGGCCGCGATACTTGGTTTCTTGACATCTGATGTAGCCAACACATGTGCTCCTCAGCACGTTTCGTCCAGCAAGAGAAGACATTGAGCTGAGAAGTCATGATCACCGTCGCCAACAATCAGAACCTGCACACACACAAGGAAGGAGTCGTTCAACTACAATCCCTCTAGACAAGCGTCATATTAAAATGGCAAGGGTACTCGTCGTCGAAACCTCCGTTACAATCTGCTAAGCGTCAGGCAACTAATGTCAAAGGGCATTCACCTGGAGTGCGACAGCTTCCACCGCGAGTTCCGGCTCTACCACGGGAAGGGCGGCCTCTTCATCACTCGAGCCATCCAGAAGCACGGTGTCTTCGTCTTGGACTTCGTTCCCGACCGCAGCATTGCTGACAGCGATGGCATCGTTTCTTTCACGTCCTGGACGCACCCACCAGATCTTGACCCAAGCTTCGACCGCGACGGCTTCTGGTACTCCAACACCATCCCTGAAGCAGAAAGCACAAGCACATTAGTCGTGATACAACAACAGTGAGAAATCGAGCAACAGGTTCCAATCCAAGTTCTCCCTGCGCGTCTTATGGCTGGAACTTCGTCTTCACCACCCGTCAAAGAAATCTATGTTGACACATCGCCTGTCGAAGAACCGCCACCAACCAAAGCCACACAACTGAAGGCGCATACTCGCGACCAACATCGGAGAGCCGCAACCGTTTCCGCCTTCTACGCCAACTCGGATCTGTATCGCCGATTGGTGGGACACAAAGCAAGCAAAGAAATATGGCACAGTCGGTTAGGTCATCCTAGCAATGCACGGCTCTTCGACACCATCCCGAACAAACGTCCTCAACAAAGACGCGCTCCTACTTCCCGATGGCCACAAGCTACGACAACCTCGCAGTCACTGTTTCACTTGTCCAGAAGCATATCTACCTCGACAACCGTTCCCATCACATCACAACCCCAGCTCACCTACTGTAAGTATGTTCCTCTAGAGAAAGTACACAGTGACATACCGTATATCCTGCGCGATGTCGGCCGAGCTGACCTAAACTTCGTCATCACCTTCGTCAACTCTGCCACATGCAACACATGGCATCTTAACCTGCCGTTGTGCAACCTCACCTTCTCTGCCTTCGTCGCATGGCCTGCTGTAGCAGAGTGGGAGGGAGGCATGAAGCTAAAGAGCTTTTAAACAGACGGGCCGATGGAATTCCAGTCACAGCGCCTCAAGGACTGTCTTGCTGAGCGGGGAATCAAGAGGCTCGTCACCCTCCCCTATGCTCATCCACAGAATGGTGTAGCAGAGTGGATGAACAAGACCCTCCGAATCACCATGCGGAATGAGCTCTTCGTTACTATCCTTCTGGCTCAACACAAAAGGAGGCAAAGCCAAGAGTGGGTTAAGCTTCAATACAGGTGGACCAAGTCAAGGGGAGCAGACAAGAGGTGCATCAAAGGGCTTCTGCAAGCTCTACAAACGAGCAGGTCATTATTTGAAGAGTGTCAGAGACTGAAGGAACACAAATTGGGAGAAGTCGGGTGAAGCCGCCCTTGTCAAGACTATCTCGCCGCCTTCAGCTTCTTCAAATCAACCTGCAAAAGTCAAAGCAATCATTAATTGCATGATTGGACCACACTGGTCTAGTGGTATGCGCTACTGGAGCTGACAAGACAATGAAGACAGCGACAGTGACATGGAAGAAGGACCAGCCAAATTACCTCCACGTCTTCTCTCTCGTTCAGAAATTCAGAACCAGCAGTTTGTTGATGAAGAAGAACCGGAACAGCCTGATGGCTTTCCTCGACGTTTGAGCGTGCAACCGTACACCCATATCGCAAAGCGTGTGTATCCCGAGCATGTTATCACTTGGTTTCTTGACAGCTGTTGTGGTCACCACATGGCGTCTTCAAGTCGTTACCTTCTCAACCGGCGAGACTTGCCAAAAGAAGAAAGGCACAACATTACAGTTGCTAACAATCATACAATCAAAGCAACTACAATTTGGGATGTGATATTGGAATCAGACGACACGGAGGCTTCACTTCACCTTACCAATGTCCTCGTCATCGTGGAGTACGACTTCAACCTACTACGGAAAGCGGCATCTGTTTCGTCAG